ACGGCGCCCGCAGCTCCCCGGCCCTACCCTCCCGGCCAAGATGGCCGCCCTCCTGTGCCTCAGCTGCTGGGCGGGGGGCCGGGGGGTTCTCCCCGCCAGGGCTCCCCTTCCCCTCTTCCGTTGACCCCGAAACCCATCAGGTTGACCCCTCGGCGTTTCAGAATCCCGCTGGGCCGAGTGAGGCGGTCCAAAGTGATGCCTGGAGGGGGCAGTGCCAGGCGTTTTGGGGTCCCCTTCCTCAGCGTCGCAGCTCACAGCTTTCCTTCTGGAGAAACGCCCCCTAACACCCTCCCGGCTGCTGGCGGAGGGGCGGGACCTCTGAGGGAAGGGGCGGAGCTAGTGCAAAGCAGGTGATTGCGTGTCACTTCCGGGAGATGGGATGACCTCATTGTGTAGTTAGACGCCCCCCCCCATCAAGATGGCTGTGTCTCACCTTTTTGGCTGTATCTTTTCCTTTTTCCTCTACAGTTCACCCTTGTTGTTTATTTACTGGGAAGGGGCTCTAAAAATTGCATAAGTCAATTGAGATTCCCACAAACAGCTTACTGGTCCTCTTTGATTTTGACACCTCTCCTCTCTTACCTCTGTGGACCCCTGATTTTCCTGTCACTGATAACTTTGCGTCCTTTGTAATAAAGTTTCCACCATTCCCTTAAGAAAATGCCAGGCAGAACCCAACTAGAAATCAGCCTGGTGTGTCTTGCATGTTGGAGGAAGGATTTAATGGACGTACTGTGACCTTGAGTATATTTTCTACACAAACTATTTCTACCAACTTTGTTTTAAGTGTGTGATTTTTCAAATTCCATGACCTTAATTTGGAAAATTCTGGCTATTTGAATGTGTGAAGATTGTCTTTCAGAATTTTTTTGTTGCTAAGATTCTGTGGGTAAACATGGCTTTAAATGAGTGAAAATATTATTGATGTGCTATATCATTAAAATAGGTGCAGGGGACACTACTTGAATTTAGCTAACAAATTACATAAGTGAAGCAGCACTGAATGGATTTGAATTACAAATGATCTTTCAATGAATGCATATTTTGAACCAGACAGGGCTATATGGTTATAGTTGTCACTATTTAGGTGAAACATTTTGAATTTAAAAAGAGAGAAAAGCTGGGTGTGGTGGCGCACACCTGTAATCCCAGCACTTGGGAGGCTGAGGCAGGAGGATCACTGTGAATTCAAGACCAGCCTGGGCTACATAGTGCGTTCCAGGTCAGCCTCAACTACATAGTGAGACCCTGCAGAGAGAGAGAGAGAGAGAGAGAGAGGGAGAAAACACCTGGATTTATTCATAGACCTCCCCCAGATACTTTAACTCACTTTCTGAGTCTTTATTCTTCTCACTTAAGTAAAATCTAATCATGCTAATAACTGTCTTTAAAAGATTAAGAGGACAAATAAAGTGATATCTGTGTGCCATTGAGTTGCCTTTGACAACTTCAATAGTTACTTTGATCTATGACATTCAATGCTAGAGCACACCACTAAGTTTGAGTGGCAGGGAAGAATGGGAACACCACACACAAATTTTTGTGAATATATATGCCAAGGAAAAACCTATAAAGACTTTGAAGAAGTACTTACAAAATGTATTCCCCAGATGTGGGAGGTCGGGGGTGATTCCAAAATCCACTTGGGGAACAAGTCACATACTGTATCCTTCTATTTTACACAGGGATTTATTTAATCCCCTTACTTCCTGTGCTAGTAAAATTTAAGGCTAACAAGTACAAATTCTGTATATAGATGGAATTCTGTTTCTTTACTGAGTTTGAAAGAATAACATTTTAAATGGCAAAAAAGTAGAGTACAGTTGCTCAGGTTTAAAGACCTGTTTCTCTAAAATGGTAACATGAAAAATTTGAGCAAGAAACACTCTTTAAACCTGTTTCCTTCTTGAAAACATTTCAAAAATTTGCTGGATGGCAATCCAGTCAAAGCAATCCACGCAACACGATACCTGACAGGCAGTGGGCACTAAATAAGTCGTAACTGCTTTTGTTATTATCGACATTATTATTGTTGTTGGTTTGTTGTTCTATTTGTATAGTACCAACATCTGTCTACCTATATTCATTGAGTATATTTGATATCTCTAATAAAAGAAAGCATTTTGAGATACTTCTAAGAATTAGGTGCAATTAATTTGTGCTTTTAGATATATTTTCTCTAAGCTATGAGGCTATGAAATGAGATACAAAAGCAAGCAGTAATGGCTTATTTATCATTCCTATTTCTCTGTGCCCTGGAAGAACATAATCTACTAGTGAAATTAGCTAAGTAAATTACATTCACTGTACAGGCTGACAAATGAGATCATGAGTCAAAAGTGTTTACCACAATTGAAGTTTCAAGTAAAAACAGGATTGTCAGACTTGTCAAGTGATTTCAACTTTATATTTGCTGGCTCCACAATTCTATCTTTCTTGTCTCCTTTGGAAGAGGGATATATTGTACAACCCAGAAGGTTCTAAAATTAAAATCACTTACAATGATAGTAAACCACTCATGAAGGCTCATTGAAAGATTAACATAAGTTGGAGCTGTGTTTTGAGTGGTACTTTTTTAACTAGAATTTGGGGGCAAATAGATGTTCCAAGTAAATCCAGTACCTAGCTCAGTGTTATATACATTATAGGCACTCAATAAATATTGGATAAACAAATGGGTTAATTGATTAAGTTTTCTGGATAACCAAAAAACCTGCAGCCAGAGATTTAACCATTCAAGTGCCAAAAAATGTACAGTATTTTACATTTTATGATACAAATCTTCATGAAACTCATGGATCTATTATAGAAATACCTCAAAACTTTAATTAAATAAGGAAGATATAATTGAGTACATTGCCCACTGTCCTGTGTTCTGCACACCAGGCAGATAAGTAACCATTTTTTTATCTGTTTATTTTGGTGTTGGGAATTGAACCCAGGGCCTCGCACACATGCTCTACTGCTAAACTACACCCTGGACCCAGTTAACCTTTTCTTGACCTTGAGATGGCTTTATGCTGAAAACTTTGTGTGCCTACCTACTACTGGGCCTACTGGGCATCTTTGGTGGTGGTGGTGGTGATGGTGGTGGTGGTTTCCTTCTAGCCACTGTTTGCTTCAATTCTCTGCTGTGTTCAGTTAGTTCCATCTCGGGCCCTAGTTCTTCCACTCCTGTATGGGATGACAAGCCAAACATCAAAGCATGTTGCAATTACATGTAAACTATTACAAATGCATTTTTAGAGCTTCTTCTATGACTATGGTAAGACAGCATTAACATGGGGAAGGGAAGTTGGGACATAAATTTGAACACTGGTGTTTTCTTCCCAATTCCCTGTTATTTTCAGAAAAACAAAAGGGGGAGGTTAATGTGGAATGCGATTGGGTATTAAGCACTTTCTCAAACATGGTCCTCTATAATCTTAACAAAAATCCGAAAAGACTTGGAAATTTATTTCCCATTCTAATGGTTTAGAAAATACCCTCAGTTCTGCCAAATGACTGAGTCACACCATAAGGAGATAGGGTAGTCATAGGTTTCAATCCATGTAGGTGTCATTCAGAAGCCTGTGCCATTTGTCCTACCATTGTCTTGGCCCAGGCAGCTAGTGGCACCTCTAAACCAAGTCAGTGTCACTGTATTAGCCACAGGAGGGACCTTATTGCAACACTAACCTGTATCTAGGAGACAGAACATGTGAATTTCAATATGGGGAAAGACCTCAGCAGAAGTATTTCAAAAGGGCTTCCTTGTGCATTCTTCAAAAGGTTTGAGCCTGGGTGAGGCATGAAAACTGTGGGGAGATGATGTCCTCGTCCATCCTGTGCCTTGTATCTTACTGACTTCAAAAGGAGTAGGAATTCTCTGTGTACTGCAGAGTAAGTTCATAAAACCCATTATCCTTGGAAGTACATTTCCGTATTTGACATTAAGAATTCAAGTGTTAGCAGGCACTCTCGTGTTTTGTTGCTAGTGGTACAAAATGGTACAGTCTTTACAGAGGGAGGAACTGGGCACTGCCAAAATTACAAATGTAGTCACCTTCGGAGACAAGCGTCTTTATGAGAATTTATCCTACAGACAAACATGCACATACCAGAAAGCACATAGTTCTATAGTGAGGTTATTCATGTGCATTTTTCATAATAGCAAGGAGAAAGACCCAAAGGGAAACTAGTTAAATAAATCATGGTGCATCCACACAACAGACCATCATGCAGCAACTTTGAAAAGTGATAGGTTTCTTTTTAAAGATGTGGAATGTTTTGTTATACAAAAGTAGCAAGTTGCGGTAAATACAACGCACTACATTTTCTGTAAGAGAATGGGTAAGTTTATTCCTGTCTGCTTGTGTTTGCATAAAGCAATTCTAGAAAGATACCCGAGAAAGCAATGAAAGTGATTACGTGCAGGGCGGTGGTAGTGGTGTGAACATGGGCTGGAATGGGAGAGAGGCACTGAATATTTGGGGGAGATGTCTCAGAAGGGTGGCGGGGAATGGGCATGCACCTGTAGTTTCATGGGTAAGGAAGAAGGGGTAGAACTGTATTCTCCAGCAGTGACTCTATTATGAAGATTTTGTAAAGGTATTTGTCTCATCAGAACTAAGTAGGGGACTGGGGTTTTAGCGCCGGTGGAGTGCTTACTTAGCTCACACAAGGACCTGGGTTTCACTCCAGCATCGATAACAAAAGGGTTACAACTCTGACATCTGTGAGTCCACTGAAACTCTTCTGAAGCATCTTTACATCTTTATTCACTGTCTTCGAAGTGAGAATAATGAGCTTCATGAGTTAACTCTCCAAAGAGTACGTTGTAACTTCATCATCTATACATTTCCCATAGGTGACGTCGACTAGCTGTGCTCAACCAAAACAAAACGGGGGAGCAAGCAGTAGCAAGTCAAATCCCCACAGGCCACATCAGAGTGGGCGTGGAGCTTACCCCCCCCCGGCTTGTGTGAGAGATTGGAAATGGAAATTTGCCCTTTCCACAGTAGACCTTCATTTCTCATACTATTGTATTGCCAGCAAAGGTGTGTTGTGTGTGTCCTAGAACATGAGTTCCAATGCAAGCCACGTCCTTTCTCTTGTCCCCAACCAAAGTTACAAGATTTGATCTGATGCTGACTGAGTAGTTATTTTGGCAAAGTGATACAGTATTTCCAATGCAAAGAAAATGTGGGCATATATAGGACTTATGCTCAGTGCTGACCTTAGGCCCTAACTATTATCGCCAGTCCTCCAAAATAGTATGAAACCCCACAGTGGATTCTCTTTTGAGTTTTAGACATATCTCATGGTGACAGATTTCAGAATGTGGCAGACACTAAGTCTAACTGAATTCAGCAAGTGTTTCTTGAAAACTTACTGCGCAACTTTCTTTGGTACAAAGAAACATGAAATAATTTCTTCAAATTGTAGTTCCATTGACAACAGCAAAACCTGAACAGCAAAAGAGAACAGCACCATAAACGAGTCATGAACTGATGCTAAAATTTATAGCACAATTAGTGGTCAGAAACTATAATATAGAACCTTTGTTTATCGGCAGATATTTAAGTGCCTTTTACACACCAAACACCATTCTCTGAAACTCATTACAGTCTTCTATGTGTGTCTGATGGGGAGTTTCATATAATTTTAGGTGATGACTACATTGTATCTTCCTCTTGCTCTTTTTAAATAAAGCGTTTGGGGTTTGTTTTTTAATCACAGGATGAGGTTCTATATTTAAATCCCAGCTCTGCCATTGAAATGTAGTATATTGGGCAAGGTACTTTCTTCTTTTTCAAGTCTATATTGCCAAACCATAAAAACGGGGAGAAATTTTAACTCACAGGGTGATATATGACATTTTAATGAAATAATGTATGTAAAAAGTCCCTGAAGCTAATGAGTGGTTGGTGCTGGCCAGTCCCTGCCTTGTGTTGTGAGGTCTGTGTGATGGTCTTCCCTCTGATAAGTCCTCCATACACTGATGGGCACCATATTTTTTTCCTGGTTTTGTAGCATTGTCTCACTACTGTGCAGGACTTTTCCTCTAATCTCGGGAGTTGTGTGACGAAGTAGTCAGTCACACAGCCCAGGTCTGAATTTCCAGTTCAACCCGTGTCTGTCACTTTGGGGGAAGATACTTTGGCTTTTGGGATTATTTTCCTTATGTGTAAAACAACGTCCATAATGTTTATCCCTCCCCAAGCTTATTAGGAGATGAATATCTGGTACAAGGTAAGTGCTAGATCCTCGCTCCTAGTTACTTCCTGTGCTGGTTTTCTTTTGCCAAGCTGTCAAGGCCTCGCATGGCCTCTCTTCTTTCAGTACCCTTCTCAGCTCCCACTTCCTTCAGCAAAAATCCTCTTGACTCTTCCAGGACAGAATAATATCTCCTTCCTTGAAATTCCAAAGCATTTCAAATCACTGCCACCCACTTTAGTTTATTTGTAAGCAAAATCTATGTTCTTTTAATTCATATAATGATTTTTAAAAGTCAGAGCCACACGGGGCCACCATTTCATCCAAATATTCACTTTAAATTGGAGGATTCTGAGATGTGTATCCATTCAGTATTTACTGCATACTTACTATGGGTCAGGCCTGTGCCCAAGGAATACAGTAGTGAAATACCACCTCTTGCATTTTTTCCCTTCTTCTTTTGTAGTTCTGGAATTGAACCCAGGACCTTGCACACGCCAGGCAAGTGTCCTTCCCCTGAGCCCTATCCCCAGCCTTTATATATCCCTCTCCTGGGACTTATACACAAAGTCTCTAGAACTTCTAAAGGGAAAGGGTGGGCAAAGACCAAAGAGAGGGTATGACATGGGCAGAGGTAGGAACGGGAAGGAGAAAGAGGCTCGTGACACTGCGCAGTGTGTCTATGGCACTGGGTTCATGAAAGCAGGGGAAGGTGGTGAGTGGAGGCCGGAGCGAATCTCTGAAGAGTCACAAGTGTCCGCTTAAGACTTTAAAGCCGATCCTGTGAGAAAAGTGACAAAATCAACTCTTGGTTTGAGACAAGTTACTTTGATGATGGTGTGGAAATTGGAGCCAGAGTAAGTGTCTTGGTCTGTTTAGCTGATGCCTCTCTAAACCAGTATTTGGGGGTTCAATATTTATTTAGAAAATTCAGAGAGAAACTCATTTTCTTTTGGTAAAAGCCCTATTCAGAAACAGATTGTCTTTTTTTTTTTTTTTTTAGCCCAAGCAGAATCCATTGTTTTAAAAATTAGTAAAATAGTCCCTTCTTTTCTGTAGTACTCAATCACCGAGTCTATTTTATGATTTTCTAAACTAAAGCACTTTGGGGAAGCATATTTAAGGGTTTACAATTTAGGTAAGACCATAAGCCCCCCTTCTTACACTCAGCAGTATACAATGCATCATTTGGTTTTAAAATGTCAGCAGAATGCGAACTTTCCATTAATATAGTCACACATAATCTTTGGGAAGAAGCCCCAACAAAGCAACTCTGCTGATGGGGATTTTTTTTTTTTTCCTACTCCTGAGCGCAGTCTACTTAGGCCATGGTCATCAGACTCCTACGACAGCCTCGTGACAACCCAGCTGGCGCTTTTGCCTTTGTATCATTCCCACCCTGGAGCGTGGGCAGGACCTGCCCCCAGAATGTGGTGCAGCGATGGGTGTCACTGCTGTGACTGATTCCACACTGCACAAGACCTCTCCTAGCATACTGAGCCAGGGCTTCTCCCTCCCTGTGGGCTTGATGTCACAAGCGGCTGTGTTACAGAAGTCCCCCTGGGAAAGAAACCACGACTGAGCCATGACACTAGGGAACAGGCTCAGCTAATAGCAGAGAGCCAGGCCTGCAGAGAGAACCACAGGGAAAGAAATTTTGCCAACAGCCTGAGTGGGTTTGGAAGGGGTCCTTCCCCCGTAAGAATCCAAGCCCACCCACAACCTCACTGCAGCCATGCAGACAGAACCTGGCCAGCAAAGCTCCAAAATCTGAAACTTTGTAGCTTGCTCAAAAAGTTTCAAATTTTGGAGGACTTCATATTCTGAATTTTTAAATTAGGGATGCTTGGGCCAGGGATTTAGCTCCGTGGTGCTGCTGCCTGCCTCCCAAGTGCAAGGTCCCAAGTTCGATCCCTGGTTCCAATAAATAAATTAAAAACAAATAATTAAACAAATAATTAAATAAATAAATAAGGGGTGCTCAACGAGTAAAGGCTATGCAGATATTCCAAAATCAGAAGGAAGCCCCAAAGCATTTCTGGTCCAAAGCATTCTGGATAAAGCTAACCAACCTGAATCACATGCAAAATTGAATCTATTCACATTTTGCTAGTTATTAGGGTTGAGAACTAAACTAACTGGCACCGTATTTCTTTCCAATTGACTCAAATATTTCCCTTATAGACCGAATTGGCCTGACCGTATTTTCTTGTCTCCAAGGACTGAATTCATCCCATCCCCTGAGGTAGCCCCCTTCCTGGTCCGCCCCCTCATCTAGCTGCTACTTCCACTGTGGGTAAAAATGGAGGCAGAAATGCTCGAGGGCCCACTGTCATCATTGGGGTGAGCTCCTATGGGCCTGGCCCACAACAGAGGCATTTGGGAAAGAAGAGAGGTGACCGATGTGGGGAAACTCGGAGACTTGGGTCCTGTTCCACCATCACTCTGAACATCGCAGTGTTGCATGGTAGGAGGAGGTAGAGGAGACGGAGGAAGAAGAGGAGGAGGAGGGAAGGAGGACAGGCAGTGGAAGAGAAGGAAAAAGGGGCAAAAAGAGGAAATGGGGAGAAAAGGAGAAAGACAAGAGGAAGAGGAGAAGGAGGAGGAGTGGGGGGGGACAGGGGAACAAGAAAGCGGAGGACAAAGAAAAGGAGAAAAAAAGCAAGCAAGAGGAAAGAACAAAACAAGCCAGGATGAAAAGAAAAGAAAAAGCCAACTGACAAATTGCTTTTCAGAATGCAAAAGAAGTGAAGAGAAAGATCTGGTGAAAGATGAGGCTCAGGGAGGCGCAGCTGAGCGCAGAGCTGGCGCTTGGGCCCACGCAGGGCTCTTCGGGCCCCTTCCAGCATGGCGGCCCCGCCTAGAACACAGCCAGCCTCCTGCGCATGCTCGGCTATGACCTTCTTCACTTGAACATTTTCAACCAGCCCCGGCCGGGCAAAGTCGTCTGCTGGTTGAGGGGCAGGCAGGATGCCAGGCTGAGTCAGACACAGCCCTGGCCCCAGGGAGTCTCAAATTAGGGAGGAAGTGGAACTTTCTACATCATGGGTCTCTTTGGTGCTCAAAGAGCTGAATGGAAAAAACAGATGTGTGTGTCTAAAAAATCTCTAAACATCCTTCTGTCTTGCTCCATTCTCAGCCTGCCCAAAAGCTTCACCAGGCATGGTCACATGTTCCCCTGCCTTCTAGGCCCTTGTATTTTGGCATCTTCCTCCCCCTTGTATGAGTAGGTAAGTTTGATTCTTGCATTTTGCCGTTCTTTATTGTGGTTTTGCATAGCAATTGCTAACAGGACAGTATCCCTGAGTAGAGTACACAAGTCTTTTTCAAAATAAGAGGTGCTACCTCCGGTTTTTTTGTGTATTGTCTTTATAAACACTGTGTTTGCCTTTGTTCCCTGAACTGGGTACTCTACACTATAGTTTTAATGATTTTTCAAGGACAATCCCTAAATCATTTTCTTGATTGTGTGCTAGAGGGTTACTTTCTGCCTAGACACATCACTAGACTGGCCTCCTTGCTCTTTGATTAATTATTGGTTTGTCTACATTAAATCACACTTGTCATCTGTTGATAAAACCACAAAAGTCTCACAGCCTCTTCCGTTGCTGTTGCTGTTAGTTGTTGGTTTGTTCTGCTTCCTATCAGCTGAATCTGCTGTGAACTAGGAGATTTGTTTTCCAGTTTCTTTTCCAAGTCTCTTCTCAGTAGTGGAAACTCTGTGAAGATTTTCTATAGAATTGTGTGTTTGTGTGTGTGTGTGTGTGTGTGTGTGTGCGTGTGCACATGCGCGTGTGTGGTTTGGGACATTTAAGACAAAACTCAGTATAGCCAAGCTTCCTGGAAATAAGAAATAAAAGAAGTGAAAAGTGATACTGAACAGCCTCACAATGGATTGTAAAATAATGAATTCTAACATAGATACATAAAAAAGAAAGAATGACAATACTGGGAATAAAACCATATTCCTCAACACGTAAGACAGCAAAATCAACATAAAACAAGACAGCATACCCACTACTTTGAATCATAGAACTCCAATTTAGGTATGGAAGAAACAAAGCATTGTTTTAGATTCAATTACACAATTGGATTTCCATTCAAAGGCTATTGCTACAAGATGGGCCACACCTCCAGCCCCTTCAATGATGCACATGTGTTACTTGTCGAGGCTACAGCGATAAATAGGACAGGCTGGGTGGCTTCAACAACCAATATTTATCTCCTCACACTTCTGGAAGCCAGAAACC